ATTTCCCGCTGTGCAGGCCTGAAGACCTCAGTAAGCCGCTTAGAGGAAATGCCTTTATCTTCTAGTCATTTCTAAACAAATACGAGCCTGAGATCTACGTTTCCAACTTAGTGGTCCCCCCAACGAGGCAAATTCAGCAGAGTCTTCTCCCCGGACCTATAAGGGGAATGTTATGTATGGACCCTCGTCTGGCCTCACCCGGGCTACTGAGAGGCCCAACATGGTTTCTGGGAGAATTTAGGTAAAATACAAAGGGCGAAGCACGTGTGACTCAGTGCGATCGCCCCTGCTGGAAAGTACCCGTTTTGAGGGGCTTTTCAAAGCCTTTTCCAAACCCCAGATAACGTGTGTGCTGGCCTGGTTATTCATAATAATAGCTACCATGGCTTTCACAGACGTCCGTAGGTGATCGTCACATCCCTATTAGGTGGCAAATACTATCGTGTGTTTCAGGCACCAGGGAACAGGCTGGGGACCCGAAACTCCTCGGAAGAAAGCAAGGACGCATCCTGACCCCGCTGAGTCCAAAGGTTTAACCAGCATCTTCCTGTCACACCCAAGGGCTCAAAACATTTATCTGATTGACTGTGATATTCGGGGAAATTCGGAAGGCTGAAAGAGAAAAAAGCATTGCATCCTGCAAGGAGATTTGGGAATTGCAAGACAAGTAAGAGCTTCCTTAAGCATCCATGCTTTTACTTTAGGATTCAGAGGTTAAATATTAAATCATTGTAATTTTTTTTTATATATTTAAAGGAAACATATAATCAAGGGAACTGCAACAGTTCCAAACATTTTCAGGGACAAAATGTTACATGTTGAAGACTTTTTATGTTGCCAATTCAGAGACACACCCAGACCCCCCCCCCCTCCCGCCCTTTTTCTGTTTTCCGTCCTTAGCAGCAATGGCTGATGGGAAGTCCTTCCATCCGTGAGGTGGCTAATGGGATGCTTCTCCTCGCTCTCAGGAGAATTGGATTCCACCTCCTGAGAGCTGTCCAAGGTTGGTCTCATATCTTAGAAATGAAAATATCCCACTTTTTAATCTGGCATAAACTTGAGAAACACCTTAAGGTTTGAGATTTAAAAAAAAAAACTTGTCTAGCCTTAGCTGGTTTGGCTCAGTGGATAGAGCATGGGCTTGTGGACTGAAGGGTCCTGGGTTCGATTCTACTCAAGGGCACATGCCTGGGTTGCAGGCTCGATCTCCAGTAGGGGGCGAGCTGGAAGCGGCCGATCAATGATTTTCTCTCATCATTGATGTTTCTATCTCTCCCTCTCCTTCCTCTCTGAAATCAATAAAAATATATTTTTTTGGGGAAAAAAAACAAAACACTTGTCTAAAGCTGGTCAAGGTAAGGGGAGGCTGGAGCTCCCAGACTGGGAATCCAACTGCCTTGGTTCTACAACCACCTACAGGATGTACCCAAAAATTCAGTGAGCAAGATAAATAATATTTTGAATGCAATATTTTCAAGTAAAAATTAATACAAAATTCCCTAACGTACAGAATAATCACATATTTAAATAAAGACGAGATCAATAATGGTGCTCTGCAGAGTCATATTAGAGCCTGAGGCAGAAGGACAAACCAGTAATTCTGGGTTTCTCAGATCCCCTTCTATAGATAAATAGTTGCCTGAGGAAGTACTTGAGGAAGCAGATTCTGTAAATGTAGAAATGTTCTAAAGTGAATTTCTAGTGAATTCACCCCAACAGCACCTACAGTAGCCTATAAGTGAACTGTACAAGTATATAGATGATACATGGACTCACAGGCAATATTGCTAACAATAGGGTTGGCATTGTTATGGGAAAGGGAACCTGGCCCTGAGGGGGTCTGCCTAGGGCCAGCTAGTAGTGTGTGGGTTCTTGCAGGAACAATTTCACAACACGAATCCAGGTGGATTTTAGAGTATGTTTTTACAGCTGGGGACAGTGAAACCAGGAAGGGCCTAGGATAGAAGCAGCACCAGAAGAGAGACTAGGTAGGGGCCTGAGCCCAGGCTGCACTGCTTTGGCTCACTAAGAAGTCAGAGAAAAGGGCACCTTGGAGACAGTTCAGGGAATTCACCTGGATGTGAGTCTCGTGGGGTCCCTTAGAGTTTAGATGCGTGCCTGCAGGGGAAGGGGTGGGGGAAGGGAAAGGCAAGGGCATGCTCCTGGGATGGAGAGAGCACGCTGGAACCTTCATTTTGATGGTTTTTAAAGGCTGCAAGTCTAGGGGAAGTCTTAGGGAAGAATTTCAATAGAATATCCATCCGGTTTATGTTGATGTGCTCAGATGAGATTTATCCCCCTAACTTCATCTATCCTTCGATTAACCTGGCAAATGGCACTAATTGGATTTCTGCTACCTATCTCCCTGAGTAGGATGATTTAAGCTATTTACCCTTTGGTTGGGGAGAAGTAAACCATTTACTCTTTTTTTTTTCATATGTGTTTATTGATTTTAGAGAGAGAGAGAGAAAGAGATAGAAACATTGATGAGAGAGAAACATCTATCAGCTGCCTCCTGCATGCCCCCTACTGGGGATCAAGCATACAACCTGGGCAGGTGCCCTGACCAGGAATCAACTGGTGACCTCCTGGCTCATGGGTTGATGCTCAACCACTGAGCCACACCAGCCAGGCAAACCATTTACTCTTAGGTGTCCTCGGTTACAGAAGATACGATTTTGCGATTTACTAGATGGCTGCAAACTGCTTGGCCATTTAACTGTTCCCCTATTCCGCTTGTCCTGGCTTACTAGCCTGTCTCAGCATTTGGATTTGGATTTGTTTATCTCTAGCCCCAACTAAAGCTGGGAAAACTATTATCTCTGCCATGCTGGCTGGCTCAAAAATATCTTGATCAGAAAAGGGAAAAATAAAGTCTCCCCCAAACCTTGAGACTGTCCTTCAAATACCTATTGAGCGGACTCCGTTAGGTACCCAGCAAAGAATGATGATGGACAAGATACACACAAGGGTGGGAAGGGACAGGTGATAGTGAATGGAGAGATGAAACGGGGCCACTTCAGCTGGCGTTAAACCTATGAATAAATTAAAACAAGACGCCTTGCCTTAAAGGACTGGAGGCAGAGAGGTGCTATTTAGAAGGAGGAGGGGAGTGACATGATCTAAAACACTGATTCCAGTTATAAAGAGCTCTAGGGCTGCCATAGTGGGAGGCAGGAAGTCCCTAGAATTGCATTGCCAGGCCGAAGAAATGGTGGACTGGACCAGGGTATTTTCGGTAGAGACAGACACTGGACCCTGGGGGCGGGGTGGGGTGGGGGGTGGGCTCAGCAGAAGTAGCGTAAAACGGTGTGTTCCGCTTTAAGAGCACAGGCCGCAGGGGCGGGGCGGGA